TCTCTCTCTCTCTCTCTGTTTCTATATTGAGTGGATGTAGGGTAAGGCTGCAGACTTCCATGGATTGCTCATGCAAGAAGACCTCTGCTGCAGGTGACAGCCTTCCTGCTGGAGCCCGGCAGGAGCTCTGGCCTTTGGTGACAGTGTCACCTCACACAACTTTAGGCCTCGGTTTGGGGGTTTAGAGTTTAGGGTTTGGGACATCATTTCCAATTCCAGAGCCTTCTGCAGGAGGACCGCATCCGCAAAGGCTTGGATGCAGCGGCCCGAGCTCCTGAAGGAATCCACGGCCCCTTACGGCCCCGTAGCCCCCCCCATTCGGCGTACGTAGATAATACCGGGGTCGGAATAGTCAGGAATAATGTCCCTTGAGTAGAAAATCATACTTGCCTGTACCCACAGGCCCCTAAGTAGTTCCTTTTTGTGGTTTATACTTAGAATCCTATAAGGTAATCCCAAAAAGGAACTACTTCGGGACCTATGGGTAAAGCCCTAGTCCAAATAATCCTGCAGGCCTTGCCCTGCTCTCTTGGAGTACCGAGGCATGGAAGAAGCTCCCGGAAAAGTTGCAAACGGCCGAGGACAAAGACAAGGCCCACTGTCCCAAAGGTCGAGTACAACAGGGCTCTGTGCACTCTAACACCATGGTTTCATATGGGTTCCATAAGGGATATAGGCACCAGTGTCAGTGCCAACACCCCGTAGGGCCAATCATAATTTTAGTGTAAAGTGTCCCAAAACCACTTAGTGGACCCCTTGTATTACTCCAAGGAACTCGACCTATGAGTCGCAAGAAAAGGGCAGAGGATGTTGTCGTCGACGCCTTCAGAAAGAAAGCTGCGATTTTTCAGCTGCCTTGTGAATACATTCGTGGCCTGCTTTGTACAAAAAAAACATCATCGAAGAGAAGCCGGAAGGCCGAGAGTTCTCGCCCGTTGAAGAATGTCCCCTTCAAAAACGACAGTCGCTGTAAAATGACCCGAACGCTGTCTTGAATTGCTGGAAGGAGTGGGACGACACCATCGGCTTCCTGAGGAGACGCTCGGGAGATCAAGACATTGTGCGGCTTCTGCTTTGTTACAACGAGTTTTTGGTTTAGCTTATGCTAGCTATGTACATGTCTGAGTATGCTGTATACTTCTGATGTTGGCGATGCAGGCGCATCTACGGCCTGAACGAGGACATGAAATACCTCACTCGAGGAGCCGTGCCTGTGACTTCTTGTTGCATGTTGCCGCAGTGCTCCTGAACGTGTGCCATCTGGATGTATGGGACGTGCTCGCACGACTAATCCTGGACCGATAAAGCCTTGAGTGTCTTTGCTCTAAGAATATCATTCATGCAGGATTCCGTGGAGACAAAAAGACGAACGCCAGCGACCTTATTTCGAGCCTTACTTCTGTGGTTTACAGCTGAGGTGACTGAGGCGCCTCGCTGCCACCTGACACACTGATAGTCACTGATATGTTAAGCACATGCAGGCCGCAGACCGTATCATCAGTCCGAAGCATGAGGCCGAAGCACTGATTGAGAAGTTCAGGAAGCAAGTGAAGGCCTGGGCTTGCTTATTAATAGCCCAAGGCAGCTGCTGCTCATGTCTCCGGCGCACTTGGCCCATAATGTCTGAGGATCACTCGTTCGTGGTAGGCGTTTTCCATGAGAGTGCTCAGCCTTCAGTGTGGCATAGAGCTCGATGTAGTGGTATCGTGGGCACCACAAATGCTGAATGAAATCTAGCAGGCAGAGACTCAGAAGGATTCAGGAGCGGAATGGCAAGGGAAATTGGCTCTCAATCGCATAAGAAGCACCTCTTCCATCCTCCTTCAAAGAATATCTCTCCTAGTCTTGGAGGCATCGGACAAGCCGGTGAAGGCAAAGGCCTGGTTCCGAAGTGCATACACGCATGTGCCTATAGGCGTGTATACACGGATGTATGTACGTGTATGTACAATATGTATATATATATATATACATATATGCATACATACATACAGACAGGTAGACATACGTACATACATACATACATACATACATACATACATACATACACACATACATACATACACACATACATGCATGCATGCATGCATACATACATACTTATATATATATATACACATACAGATATATGTATATTGCATGCATACACACATACATATATGAAAGGCTGTGTATGGAGATGTAATTCTGTGTGCACTTGAACATGTATGTACAATATGTGTGTGTGTGTGCCTGTTATATTTTCGATCTGTTTATGGAGAGAGATGGAGAGAGACGTGTGTCGACCTAGCTACTTAAAGACATGTATGCATACGCATGTGCCTAGATGCATATATACCTACATGTGGTACATCTGTGTGTTCTAGTCTTGGTAGAGGGCATGTTCGTTGAGCTTCTAGTTCGTTATCATGTCTTAGGAAGCATTTATCGCGATATTCCATTCTGAATGCTTGGGCAAAGTTTGCTGCTCCTCACGCTGACAGAGCTTGGGTCTGTTTTTTGCAACACGTTCGAGTGCATTCTGTCCGTGACAGAGATCATACTGGAACCCTCTAAACCTCGAGCCCAGGACTTCGACAAGGTCATGGAGTTCCACAAGGAGATCACAGGATACCTCGAAGAGCAGAGGACCCAGCAAGAGTCACAGTTGCCCTGTTCTTGGAAGCATCGCAGTGCGGCTGAGGTTTCAAACCTACCTGCTGGATGCCACAGAGGCACTGAGAAGTTGGAGGGGCGCACAAACTTTGAAGAGTTTCTGTTTCCAGCAATGGTGAGCGGTTCCTGCCGAGCGCAGATGCCCAACGACACCACTCCATGCGTGCAAAAGCCGTGAAGTATGGTCCGTAAGGGTGCTACAGTACTATCCGCAAAATCGAAGTCGGCCCTCGATGCAGGAGCTGACCACAGAGGCAGAGGCTGAGGACATCTCTTGAGCTCAAGATCCTCTGTTGAGACCCGGGCTTGAGCAAAGCGGACAGCTAGCCCGCAATTTAAGCACCCGAGGCCAAGTAAGTGCGGTTGATTCTGCTGGTTAGGATCGATTCACAGCCTCGACGGTGCTGGAGAAAATGTTTAGCAACAGAAGGTTCCGTTCTGTAGCAGTCATTTAACCTGCGGTCGGTTGAACTGGCGGCCGCCAATTTTCGCTTTTCGCCGTAGCGCGACTGGAGTGGATTCGCCCGAGTGCCATTTTCAGCAGCTGTATCATCCTGAGTCGAACAGGCGTTGTCTAGACTGATGTAGACAGGTAACCGAATCAAATAACCTGCTTGGCCGCCCAGATGTGAGCATGTCCTGGTCTCATGGCGAAGACAATTTTCTGGTCAATGGTCCATACATACTTCACTGACAGCCCCAAACGTCGATTCATGTCGTGCTTCACTGCTGGACGAAGATGTTTGAAGTGAAGGGTCGGGTTTCCAGAACGTCTCATTATATAAAGTTCATGGAAGCGCTACATGCATGTCTCAGAGCATCCGCCACTGAGCCCACGAGGCCAAAGCATGAAAACCTTACCCTGCCCGGTGCCGGGCATTGGTGACTCAAGTCTTATACCTTGGGGCTCAGCCCCCCCTACGAGGCATTTTCAGGGTTTCGGGTTTTGGCCTTCCCGGCTCCTGGATGTTGGACGACAGCCACCAGTACCACGAGCTGCTCTCGCCGCGCTCGCCACGCAGCCATTCGGCGGCAGTTGCTGAACAGTGATCGACCGGATGCCCTGTGGTGGCTTCCCATTTGCTCGGTATACGTTGCAGGGAACGCATCATTAAGCTTGCGAGTCTTGCATTGCTGTCTTTGTTGTAAGACATGTTGTGGAGTAGTCCCTTCGGCATGGGGTATCCTGAAATGACATGATACCCATGGGGCGGTGCTGGTTGTTCGCTATGTTGTGCGAGATTGCTTGTGTCCATCGGCACAGCTGCACGAGACTTGACAATGAGAATGGAAGCTTGTGATGTTGCTTCTCGTTTCATGTTACCTCATCCTAGCGTACGGAATTCTGTCTGTCTGTCGGCCGGTCGGACTGTCTGTCTGTCTGTCTGTCCGTCTGTCTGTCTGTATGTCAATGTATGTATGTATGTATGTATGTATGCATGTATGTATGTATGTATGTGTGGATGTATGTATGGAAGTATTTATGTATGTATGCATGCATGCATGCCATCAATGCATGGGTGGATGGATGGATGGATGGACGGATGTGTGTGTGTGTGTGTTTGTGTTTGTGTGTGTGTGTGTGGGTGTGTGTGTGTGTGTTTGTGTGTGTATATGTATGTGCACCAAGCACAGAATGCATGCACTGTTTGCTATTACGAGTGTTGTGTACATGCAGGACGTAGATATGACACAGCGGAACCCAAACTTGGAAAGGATCGGTGGCATGAGAAATCTACCGAATCGCAGCAAAGCCTAAGAGATTGCCAGCAGGCTGTATTTTGTAGCAATCTCTGCTGGCGTTTAGGAGAACACCCGTCTCAGAAGATCTGGACAAAAAAACCGCTTTTGCCTAACGTGGAAGAAGTACGAAGCTACCAAAGCCCGTGTTGGGGACATGCCGGAAGATGTCCGAGGCGACGAACCTACGCTGCAAGCCGCCGGGAGCTCGTCCCTGACGCTACGCTGGCGGGCGCCTTTTCAGAACTGGGTGCAATTCGTTGAGCTCTTCTTCTGGGCTGACCTGGCTTTCCAGAACGAGTGGCAGTGTAGCAACAGGTCAGACTGTGTATGAACGTTGATTTGCACGGTTTTCCTGCTTCAAGACTGCAGGAATGACTGAGTGCCGTTGGGGCAAGCAGCTTGTCAAATGTACCACGGAGCCTGAGAATCACTGCTAACGCAGGCTAGTAGCTTGCTGACTTGCGTGCTGCTGCCGCTGCTGCGAATGATACCTCCGATACCGTCGACACAGATTCTTTGCCAGATGTTGCTCGGAACGAAGGTCTTGCACACGTGTCTGCTACTTGCTCATACGAGACGAGCGAATCAATCCTGAGGTCTGATGAAGGCTATGATCAGCACTATACAGCTCCCACATCCATGTAAGCGGTGTGAAGCACACCTGCTCCGTGCCATGGTAATTAAGCATGCACCGAACGACTGTTCAAATCCACGTGCAGAAAATCGCAGCCCTTGGTTAGCTGAAGCTCAGCACCTCGAGACTTGGGACAGAAGGTGCCGGCGGACACGAAGCCCGAGGATGTAGAGGCCAAGATTCCGGGATACCGGCTTAGAGTGAAGTAAAGGGGGGTTAAAATGTTAAAAGACGCGACGAGCTCCACTCAGTAAAGCCCCAAAACCTGGAGATGCACAGCAATACAATATAGAACCCTGAATGATTTGTGCTACTATTCCTTATTAGGGCTCTTTATGATACCTGTGATAACAACCCTGTTCTGATGATTGGGGAAACAACTCTGCGCGGGCTATAGACTCCAATAAGTCCTTGTATTGCTTGGCGACATTATGCCCCAGAAACCCTTTCCCAATCATTTAGGCACTTGTCTTCGACGACAAACGCCTTTACCGTCGATCGTGAGCAGGCAGAGTATCGCCCCAGCCGGTGGCTGCTCGCCAGCGCATGGAAGTGCCGCCCCCGGGAGATTTCTGGAGTCCTCCGGGAGCAGGATGAGTCGGAGCAATTCCAACGAGTCAATGCCTGATCTCCGAACTACTTGCATGAGACGGTACTGTGGTGTCACATGCCAATCTCAGAATCATAATGTGGGGGCATTGGGATGGGATCATGTACCAGCACGCAGTTCTGTGGACTTGCTGTTGAGCCCTCAGAGCGGAAATCTCGAGCTCTAAGGCGGCAGCCCTTGTGCGAAGTCAATGACGTCTGCTTCCCGCCTTCGCGGATGAACTCCAAGCCATCCTCCGAAGCAGCTCTCACCGAGCCTGCTCTTTGGCTTTTCATGCCGTGTTCGAAGTGGCGATATTCGCAAGGTCAGCTGAGATTACACAAAAGTTCACATGCAAACGGCCTTAGCAAGCCAAGGCTTCTTCGAGGGAGGCGGCCACACGCGCCGTGCTTTGGCTGCAGAGCAGACAAGCCTGGTCATCAGAGATCAGAGCTGGCCGACTCATGGAATCTCTTTTGGTGTCCACGATTGATTTCCATCTTCGAAAACATGTTACCCTAAAACCCTAAACCCCCTAAACCCCTAAACCCCTACACCCCGAAACCCCTTGAGGTCCTCTGGGTTGATGCTTCATCGACTTGGGGCCATAAAGGGTCTTCCAGGGGCTCCAGGAGCAGACGGGGCGGCTCTAAGGGTTTATAGGGGTTTATAGGGGTTTAGGGTTTACAGGGGTTTATAGGG